AAAAAAAAAAATGTATGTGTCCTCATTTTTTTTAAAACCGCTAAAATCTGAAAAAAATTGGAAATTGACGATTTTTACGAATTTTTTTAGGGGCCTAAATAAGGTACGATAAATTTGATTTTTTTACCCAAGAATCTGACTGGTCTGATGTGTAATTGGTGAAATTTTGGTGCATTTTTATCGAAAATTGCGGGAGATATGAAATAAAACGTGAAAATACCCCAAAATTCCCCGAAAAATGGGTTTTTCGGGGCTGGAGGGGGGGTGGTTGGGGTCAGGAGGGTAAAATTGCCCAAAACTATGTTTTTAGGACCTCCTGAAAGGGGTTAGACCATTAAATTCAAAATCCGTGAGGAGGGGCATTTTGGTGCCCTTACCCAGGGATACCCTTTCATCCTATTTTTCAACAATTGTATAAGAGAAGATTCGGATTCACTATTAGGTAAATCTGGAATCAAATCCCAATAGGAAGTTAGCATGAACCTTGGTTTTTTTTAGGTGGAAACTAAACATCCTTTCAAGAGTCTAGTGTTATAATACTAAAGTATCACCAAGAGCAGAATGTTAGGGTCGGTTGCGGTAATTTCGGATGTGCATCATGGAGGTCGTAATGTTGAGGCCAGGAAATTTTCACGCTAGTATGTTGTTCCCAACGTTCAGTTGGTCACCTCGAATGATTTGGTTCTCATTTTCTGTTTATTCACAATGATAACGAGAGTTAATGTGAAAGAAGAATCAAATTATAAAACGCATAGCCTCCCTCCAAAGTGTTATTGGTTCGAGAAATTATCTTTATATCCAAGAACCATTATTTCCATAAGTTGTTCTTGTTATGAATTTTGTCTGTTTTTCGAATGATCAATAAACCTCTGTCCAGATTGAGGTTATACCGGAATCACTTCATCAGAAAAACACTGGTGGGGTAATTCCGTTCATTCAAGGTGTTTTTCCGATGGGGTAATTCCGGTTTAACCTTAATCTGGACAGATGTTCATTGATCTTTTGAAAAGCAGACAAAATTGGCTTTTCATAACCAGTACAACTTATAGAAATAATGGTTGTTGAATATAAAGATAATTTCTCTTACCTATAACACTTTGGAAGGAAGTTATGCGTTAGTTTATAATTTGATTCTTCACGGTAACACCCGTTATCACTGGTAAATAAACAAAAACTGAGAATCAAATCACTCAGGGTGACCAACTGAACGTTGGCAACAACATACTAGCGCGAAAATTCTCCAACCTCGATATTACAACCTCCGCAATGCACATCCGGAATTATCCCTTTGCGGGTGGGGTAATTCCGTATACAACGGGGTATTCCAGACGCTACAAAAAAATTCATTGAAAAATTTTGACATTACTTTCAACAAAAACTAGCTTAACTCGCTCTCCACAAAATGAGGAGCTGGCTGATTAAATAAAATGTTGAATTCAATCAGTTTGATTGGTCCAAACCAAAAGTCAAAGTACAAATTAGGTTTCAAGCGTCAAAATCGTCCGGAATGACCCCAACCCACTCTAAGGAAAAAGATATTTTCGTTTTCTTATGCATCATCAATTGGCATTTAAACAGAGCATTTAAACTTCTGGTAGTATTGAAATTTAAATATTATTGTAGAATAGAATGTTTTGAGAGAAAATATGAGTCCGCTTAAATAGGAGAATGGATTAAGCAGTTTTATCACAAGCGATTGGGTAATGCCTTAAAGTTCATTTTAAGTGTTTTCCTGGCATACGAGCAGCCTGACCATGAGCTCTTAACTTTTATGTCCCGATTTTGTCAAGTAACCTGTTTGTTCATGATATAAAAACAATATTTCTCAGATGTTAAAAAAAATGTTAGTAGAGGTAAAGGATTTTGCGCATTGTCTCTAAGTTAGGCTTATTATTTTTTTGCTGAAGTAAAATAATTTAATGATAGTTTTTTGTTCATCTCGCATGCCTTTTTCTTTTTTCAGTATTCCAGCATTGACACGAATCCAATCAGTGTATATATCATGCACCCTTTCTGGAATCGAATCGTTGCAGTGAGTAATTCCATCTTCTTCACTATTCAACGTTCGGATAGCCTATCGACAGTGATAATGCCAAAATACATATCTAGGTTACGGTGTTTCAAAATCTCTAATTCTGTTTTATCTTTTAAAAGAAGACACGTGCTGGTTCAAAATTGTTTTAAAATATTCCTAAAGAAGAGGAGGAAAATCCCATAAGTTTTCAAGGAAGGACATTGGGCAGTTTTTCATGTAGAAAATATTTTTTTATTTTATCCATTCATTTTACATTTGCACGTTTATTGGGCTACGGCACTTGTCAAAGTAAAATAGGAATGTGAAGTGTCAAATTTGGAAAAGCATTGTCATCACAAACATCGCTGCTATATCATCAACTCTAACATTCAACAAAACAAAATATGGGTTTTAATTGTGCAAACGAAACTCAGCACCTTTTAAGGAAATTGTTAAGCTTTAAATATGACAAAATAGCCTCAACGTTGTTGACCATGGAGGTCTTGTTTGTTGTACCATTGTAATGTAGCTTCTCAAGGTATGTTAGTCGCTTGCATACGTACAGACAAGGTTTTGGTTCCTTACAGAATGATTGGGCACCATTGACTGTGTTTCTCAGGGTGTCCATAAGTCCGGAAATCGTACTGATTTTTTAAGGGCATTCCGGAAGTACTGAAAAAGTGCAGAAATTCCGCGAAAAGGTCCGGAATTTTTTGTTATTTTTGTCGCAATTTCAAATTTTTGAAACTTTTCTATTTTCATGAAATAGAGGTACTGAAAAAGTACGGAATTTTTCTGTTGGAGGGGGTACCGAATTTCTCGAGAATGTACCGAAAAAGCAGCGTAAAAGTACTTATTTTTGACCAGCTATCTTTGTTGACAGGTTTGTCCTCTGTGGATTGCTCCAAATCTTCTCACATTCACTGGTTTCCTCTTTACGGTTGCTGCCTTTTTGCTCCTCACATACTACGATTACTCTTTTTATGCCTCAAGTGATGTTAATTATCCACCCATCCCTAATTGGGTCTTTGCTGTCGTGGGAATTTGTATTTTTCTTGCATACATACTGGGTAAGCTATCAGAATTAATATTAGTGCATGAACTGGAATTTCAGAAGTGCAGAAACCTCTTGTCTGGCATGTCACAATTGGTCGCATAAGAAAATAAAGAAGAAAAAAGGGTCATTTCTTGCCAACTGGTGCTACTTTGAAAAAGTGACTCCCTCAGAATTTGATGAAATTCAGCATACTTAGAGTACATGCAAAGCCTAGTCTAAACTCAAAATTTTGAGTTGACTCGACCACCCGTTGGGCTTTTATGAAACACTGAAAGTTCGTGAAATTTGGCTTCATTTCAGAGATGTCACCACTTTAGTGATGTGCAACTCCGGAACGGTAGATCGGAAATCAACTGTTCTGGTGTCGTTAGAAAGCCCTGAGGAAGAGCTTTTCAGATATGTTGGGCCAAGACAGCAGATTGTGCATTACGAATCTATTGTGCCTACCCATGTCTCGGCCCGAGTTTGGGGGCGATTCCCGGAACTCAGGTGTAGCGACTGCGTAAGCCGCAGCACCTTTCGCATTTCTGAACTTTTCCTTCTCTAACTTTTGACTCCATCAGAACACCACTCGGTAATTTTGCACACGCGTAGTCGAAAGTGTCATCAACATCTCATGAAAGTTTCAAAGAAAAAAAAGGGTCTGATTTTGAGTTAAATTGTTTTGAATATTAAAATTAGCGCCAGGAAAAAATTTTGAGTCGAGCCCAATTTAGTTAAACATTCTTCCTCAGGGCTTTCCAACGACACCAGAAATTTGTGCAACATTGCGTTTTCAAGTCCCCAAATTTCGGGCGAAGTTCAGAAAAACGAAATTTATTTAAGGTAATTCAATTTGACTGTTTAAATTTTGGTTTTTTAACTTTGCTCGAAATTCAGATGGAATTTGAAAGAAGTAAATGATAGCAACGGATCATTTATGTGAATTAAAAAAGTTGACTCAATTCAAATAACAATTTTGATGATCAAATTGAATGAACTAATCAGATGATAAAAAACCAAGATTACCATGGAAACCAATACTGTAACTTTAAAAGAAAACGGTTTAGTGAAAAACAGCGCAAGTAGAGAACTTGTGTTAATGACCTTACGATGTCACTAATGACGTTACGTTTACCTGTAAACGGTAAGGGCAATTGAACGCGAATTCGAACTGGACCTTTATCTGATCGGAAGGGACAATATTGCAAAATTTGAATGAGTTAAAGTGATTCTAACAACCTTTATCGTGAATAAAAGAAATGTGTAGATGGAGAGCAGGTAATAATAATAATACCACCAAAACCTGATCAGTCTTACCGCTAGACCCTTTGCGGTCGGCCGAAGACTGGTCTTGGGGGGGGGGGGGGACCTCCCAGCCAGTGCCCCTATTGGCACTGGACGAGCTAGTTGAGCGTTAGAAACATAATAATAATAATCATTATATTTATTTGTATACAGGGTGTCTCACGAAAAGAAGCCACCTTGAATATCTGCCGAACGCGTCGGAATTTCGAAAAACAGTAAAAGGCGTGTTCGTTTATATCGAGGAGGACACCTTTTGGCGTATTTGTCATTTTCCCAAACCGCGGGAGGGGCGCGGGGCGGGGGGTGCCCCACCCGTAAGTCGAACTTTTCAAATGGCACCCCTACTTTTTTATTTCAGAAATCAATTCTATGCAAAAAAACAAGCCACCCTGTCCAAACCGAATGTCAATCGGACAATTTTTCAGTGATTGGCAGAGGTTGAAACATTTTTTTCATGCTCTTTTCAAAAATTTCCCACGCCCAACGGAATTGCCGTATCAAACCAAGCTCTCCGCCAAAAAAATTCTTAAACATTGCACTTTCGATATGAAAAAAAAAAAATCTGCTGCACTCGAAATCTGGAGCACGCGGAGCCCTTCTTTGCGACATTAAAATTCGTTTTACCGAACATTTCCGGGGGGCGCTCATCGGGAGGGAGTAGTAAGTTTTAGACATGAATTATTATTCTTTTTTCTGGAGCATAAAAAACCGTGTCCATGAAGAAACAGCCAAGTAGAAAAACAACGCACCGCGGAAAAATAGCGTCCTCAGAAGTATCAAGGTCCAGCTCAAGTCCTTGATCCCCCCCTTCCCCGAAAAAAAAGCTAATCCATTTGTTTTTCTACTTAGCTGCTTCTTTATGGACATGGTTTCCTATGCTCCAGAAAAAAGAATAATAATTCTTGTGTAAAACTTACTACTCCCTCCCGATGAGCGCTCCACGGAAATGTTCGGTAAAACGAATTTGAATGTCGCAATGAAGGGCTCCGCGTGCTCCAGATTTCAAGTGCAGCAGATCTTTTTTTTTTTATCAAAAGTGCAATGTTTAAGAATTTTTTTGGCGGAGAGCTTGGTTTGATACGGCAATTCCATTGAGCGTGGGAAATTTTTGAAAAGAGCATGAAAAAAATGTTTCAACCTCTGCCCATCACTGAAAAATTGTCCGATTTACATTCGGTTTGGACAGGGTGGCTTGTTTTTTTGGCATGGAATTGATTTCTGAAATAAAAAAGTAGGGGTGCCATTTGAAAAGTTCGACTTACGGGTGGGGCACCCCTCCCGCGGTTTGGGAAAATGACAAATACGCCAAGAGGTGTCCCCCTCGATATAAACGAATACGTCTTTTACCGTTTTTCGAAATTCCGACGCGTTCGGCAGATATTCAAGGTGGCTCCTTTTTCGTGAGACACCCTGTATAAAGCCATGTGGCTATGATACATTGTCAAGTGAAAGAAACTATCTATGGTTTATATACATATAGATCATACATATATACATAATAATTACAGAAAACCTAAACTGGGTTACTAAAGAATTCCTTATAGGAACAATAAGGCCTTTTTTGGAGAGAGTTTTTTAATTTTCTCAGAAAAACTGTGCCTCCCTCTGTCTTGAAAGCTCCCTGCAGTGATGGGGATAATCTGTTAAATATTTATTTCCACTCTCCTGTGAGAACACGCTTTTCCCTCTCTGTTTTTTGTTTTTTTTTGGTCGTGGAAGTTATGCCTTGTATTGTAGTTATGCGCTGGGTGCATGTGTGTCTCATTTAAAATCCTGTTTTTGATGGCATGTTTGATTACTTCATAAATATATAAATTAAAAACAGTCAAGATCTTATACTTCACGAACAGCTCCTTGCATGGGTAATCACATTTTTTTCCATCTAAAAGTCTAATTGTTCTTTTTTGTAGCGTAAGTAGTTGTTCGGTTAGATTTGATTCTCCCCATACGCACAGGCCGTATGAGAGTTTTGACTGGATATTTGAGTAGTTGTACATCAAAGCTGTCTTGTTGCCTACTTCTTCAACTAAATTTCTCATCGAGTATACTCGTGAACTTAATTTTTTCCCGAGTGCGTTTACTTGGCTGGTCCATGTTAAATTCCTATCAATAATAAGTCCTAAATATTTGCTTTCATTTACAACTTGTATGGTCATGCCATTAAATTGGCAATTTTTAAAGAATGAACCATGAGGTTTAAAATTAATTGTACAAGTTTTTGAGAAGTTAATAATGAGTTTGTTGGCATCGCACCAGTTTGCACATACCTTAAATATTTCATGAAGAAGATCAAGAATTTTTTTCCCCTTAACTGCAAGATTTGTATCGTCTGCAAATATCACTACATTTAGGTTGTTGTTGAAGGATTTCATTGCATCTGGCAAATCATTTATGAAAATTAGGAAAAGGAGAGGACCTAGAATTGATCCTTGAGCGACTCCTATATTGCATATTTTTTTATTAGACCTGTAAGTCTTCCCATTTTTCTTTATTTCGGTTACATGCACTCGGTTTTTTAAGCATGATTTTATTAACGCCAGATCCTTGCCTAGGACTTTATAGTGGCTGAGCTTTTTTAGCAGAATTTTGTGGTCGATTAGATCAAAAGCCTTCTTAAAGTCCACTTGCACACTGACAATATCTTCTTCATTTACCTCTGCATACAACTGATCAATGAAGTTGATCAGAGCATGATTTGTGCTTTTGTTTTTTCTGAATCCAAACTGGACTTTAGTGAGTAGATCATTTTTAACAAAGTGACTTAATCATTGTTTATAGATTACCTTTTCAAATACTTTTGACAAAAATGGTAGAATTGAAATAGGTCTGTAGTTGTTGATTTCCTATTTTGATCCACTCTTATGTATTGGAATTTTACTTTGCTAATTTCATGGTATCTGGAAATTCACCTTTTTCAAGAGATTTATTGATTAGGAAAGTTAGAGTATCAGCAATCTGATCAATGTTACTGGGTATAAGCTCACCTGATAGGTTGTCAACTCCCATCATTGCCTTAACATTAAGATTTTTAACAATTTCAATCACATCATATTTACTGACTGGCTGGAAATTAAGTGCTTTTTCCGGCTTTTTTACATTTTTCAGAGTTTCTTCGATGAGCTCCCCCCTATTTTAACATGTTTAAATTCCATGTCAAGGGCAATTATCAAGTCTGAGAAATAGTTATTAAAAGCATTAGCAATGTCCATTGGATTATAGAGCTCCTCATCTTCACATCTAACTGAATCGATGTTTCTTTTGCCTTTCAGGGTGCCATTGATTTTGTTTATCAAATTCCAAGCTTTCTTTGTTCTCTGATTAGGGAGTACATCCGTGAGCAATTGAGCATCCTTATATTTTCCTCCTTTTCTCTTTTAAGGATAGATTTCAACTTTTTGTTTAATTTATTTACAATTTGTTTATGCTTTCTACACTTGGTTATTTTGTACATATACCAACATTCTTTTTTTCCTCACTAAGAATTTTAACCTCTTCATTTTTAATTCTTTTTTTTTTGCGCTCAATTTTTTTTTAAGACATTTTGTTTTCGGAAAACAATTATCATACATGCTATATGAGGTTTCTTGAAAAAACTTTGTGCTGTCTGAGCAGTTAGTAAAATTTTATAAAAATTTTATGCTTATATAAGAATCAATAACCCGTTCCCTCGGATTACTCAATCAACTATTTAGACTATGTCTACATGTTGAATCAATCGATATCGACACAATCTCATCTGTTTGATGCATCGAAAACGATCCATTCCTTAGCTTGCAGCTGCGTTTTCGTGGCAAGGTATTAAACACCCCCCCCTCCCCCCCAAAAAAAAGGCTCCGCCCGTCCGAAGCAGAGACGCTCCAGATTTTCGAGTGTCTAAGAGAGTCGCCCAGCATCGGATGCACGAGTCGGCACTCGCAAAAATCTTACGTAAAGTTAATCAGCTGTCTTCCAGCGCGTAATGCCGAACTCATTCCATCTCACACGCACTCTCTTTTGCGCCCCTTGTCCTGACGGAAAAAGCGGCGACTACCGGCCGCGATATCCCGCGAACCCGCGGGCGGATCGCGAAATTCTCCCTTGTCCGGTGCCTGGGGGTCGATAGGGTTCCCCTTGCCGAATTTCAGGTCCATACGACCTACCATTCTCGAGATCCGCTGATACGTGAGTCAGTCAATCAATGTAAAGTCTCTTTTACTAGTACAGATTAGATTATAGTGGGGATATTTACCGAAATCGGCTGTCTGGTAAAGCCGATTTCCGTGAACTTCTGATTTGTTGTTCTGGTAGCCCATTACACGGTGATTTCACAAAGGAACCATCTATGTATTAATTATCCCATACAAATACTAAATTGACTGGAATACCAGTAGCATAACTAGGGATCTTTGCGCCTCCAGCCAATCTGTGGCGCTGCGCCTCGCAGTGGATCGAGTCAATGGGAGAGGTCGAACATGAAATTTTTTACTGAAACTGCAAATTTATATGTTTATTTTGTCACATTTTAAATTATAAGGGATGTCTCTAAAAGAAAATTTCACGAAGAAACCAATGGAACCACTTTTGGAACCTGAAAGTTTTGTATTAACGGAGTTTAAAGCATTTACAGTTGTCAAATTTTGTCCGACCTCTCTTGTTGACTGCGCCCCTCCATTACTAAAGTGCTAAGCAATGCATTCCTCCTTCCACACACCCCAAATATTTTAGATTGGAACAAATAGTAGAAAGTCAAGAGATCTGTATGAAAATAGGAAAATAAAAAGGTGAAGAAAAAATTTCAGTGCCAAAAGAAGTAGTCCGTATTGGCCCTCTTACTTTCTCAATTTAATTTTCTCCTTTCTCTGCAAATTCTGCGCCCTTTGCAACGTTTCGCCCCCGGGGAGGAGGGGGATAGTTACGCCACTGACAGTGTCACCAATGGAAATCACTGAATAAGGGTGGCCATACGTAATGCAATGACACAGGTGGCCATACGTAATGCAATGACACAAGAGTTTTTTACCAGGATCCTCTCTATTCTAATAAAATCATTCTTAACCCTTCGCGCTTGTCTGTCGGGCTAGGCTCGACAATATAATTTCCATATTCAGGTCATATGTCGGGGAGGCCCTCAACCGACTTGCCAGGTTAACCGGCAAGTCGTAAAACCGACTTGCCAGGTTAACCGGGCAAGTCGATTGAGGCCTGCCAGACGACTCTACAGTTTGGAAAGTTTATGTTGGGAGAGGCCCGACGTATGACTTGAACGTTTAAATTATTTTGTCGGGCATGATTCCTGAAATACCTTAAAATCAGCCAGATTTAATTACGACCTGGAGGGGTGGATGGGGAAATTTTTTTGTGACTTCAAAGGGTTAAGACGTTCGATGGACGGAGTGAGGAAGGAGAGTAAAACGGTCGACTGGCAGGAGTGAGGAAGGAGAGTTCAACGGTCAGAATTTTAAGAGAGTGGGTTTTTACTTTCAGTGGCCTTTGTTTAGTCCTAGACAGCTATATGTGGCCATGTCAAGGCCGACTTCCAAAAAAGGAATAAAAATTCAGAGTGCGGAGGAAGCCATTGAGAAAATTGTTTGGCGGGAAATTTTTCTTTGAAATATAGTTTTATCATTCAATTAAAATTATTTCCTCATTAACTGCCAACCGAAGCGGCCTTTGGAGGTGCGCAGCGCCGGGGGGGGGGAGGTTGGGTTGCGTAGCGGCCAGGGGACAGACCCCCTAGCGTATAGCTAAAAGAATACTCAGAGGATCATCCAATGACTTTCAGTGCACATCCAACATTGTATAACCAGTGGAGTAACAGATCATTTAATCGGATTTTTTTTTTTTAAATTCTGTGCAGATGGAATTGATGGTAAACAGGCACGACGGACACATACCTCTGGTCCAGTGGGAGAATTGTTCGATCACGGGCTGGACTCATGGACCACAATATTTATTCCAACTTTATTATACTCAATTTTTGGTCGATCTCCGCCAAGTATTCCTCCCTATCGAATGTTCTATATTTGTTGGCATGTATTTATTAATTTCTACCTTTCACATTGGGAAAAATACAATACAGGCGTGCTTTTTCTCCCTTGGAGCTACGACATATCCATGCTTGTAAGTAATGCAATTTTCTTCCTCATGATATTCTGAAGACGCACCTCATGTAACTTATCATGATATATTTGCATGACTAGAGGGTCCACGACCCAATCCCCTCGGATAGTCCATCGTCTTATGATAACAACATCACTAATTTTTTTTTACATTATTGTTGTAATTTTCATTAATACTCGTAAAGATCTTTTGGTTTTACGGATGAATTCTTATTTTTTTTCTTTTTTTAAGAAATCAAAATCAACGTCCTTCGGTATTTCCCCTTTAAAGCCATGTTATAGAATCGAAATAATTTACGGTCGCTATTTTTCATGTTCAAAGTATGTTAAGATGTAGGAAATAACGATCGATGGTCGATAAGTTGAAAATTGATAGGTCCAAAATCTATACCCTTAGGTCGAAGATTGATAATAATTCGAAGATTAAGAAACCTAGATCCATGTATTGATACTTTCTTAAGATTCCTCCATCGTTATCCCGTTTAATATCAATGCATCCTGTTGTATCCCTATGTATACCATTTTATGGGCCGATTTTATGTAAGGGGAGAATCGAAGTTTCCAACTTTAAAAAAAAAGACGCGCGCTTCGCACGCGTCTTTTCAGGGTCGTCTGCACATCTAGTTTTTCTTCTTTTTAAGTGTCCCGCGCAGCCACCGCGGGAAGGAAGTGTATTTCCCGAAGTGGGATTTTTGTAGTCATAAAATCGTATGTCTGTAAGTCATTTGTGTAATCAATAGTTTTTTCCAGTTATTTCCTTTCCTTGGGCCGCTGTGCCACGAACAGTCCTTCCAAAAACTTTCTTCACCTGACCCACTGTGCGACGCGCAGTTTGTCCAAAATCTTCCTTCCCCTGAACCACTAAGCGACGAAAAGCTTGTTCAAAAACTTCTTCCCCCTGACCCACTGTGCGACGAAAATTTTGTCCAAAAACTTCCTCCCCGTGCCCACTGTGCGACGAAAATTTTGTACAAAAACTTCCTCCCCCTGACCCGCTGTGCGACGAAAAGTTTGTCCAAAAACTTCCTCCCCCTGACCCACTGTACGACGATCAGCTTGTCCAAAAACTTCTTCCCCCTGACCCACTGTGCGACGATTAGCTTGTCCAAAACTTTCTCCCCCGACCCACTGTGCGGCCCTGCTCCGGCCGGCTCCCCTCATGCCGCGCACCCCTCGCCTAAAACTTTCAAAGCTCGCCATTTTTAAACGGCTCGGCCAATTTAGCTCAAATTCAATAACAAACCAGTCCTAGGGGAGAACTACCACCGGTACAAATTTCAGCTCAAAATATTCATTTTCGCTCGAGTTATCGAGTGGACAAGATTTGACCTTCCCCCACTTTCGAGCCCCACCCCTCAAAATCTATTGCCTCAAATTTCAATTTTTTTTCGCAGAATAGTAGTTCTAATAAGTCTCTACTAAATGCAAAAAAATTGGTTAAAATTTCTTTCAACGTAAGAAAGATATAACTACTCAAAAATCGAAAAATATTAAAAAGGCGGAAATACATACATGCATACATATATACATACATACATACATACATACAAATACACCAAATACATATAGCACCAAATAAATGTATTTACCAACCAACCATACATATATACACATGAATTTGAATGGCATATATTTTCGTGATCTACGACCCGTGATCTGTGCTCTGACAAGGTCTCGTTTCTGGGTCCGACATCATGGGAGAATGCAATCGTGTATTTTCTTCGGAAAATACACTCAAAGTTCTTGAAACTATAAAAACCAAATATTTTCTGAAGCCGTGTACATTCATTGAATCTAGTCCGAGTTCTTTAATCGAAATCAACGACCTCTGGTATTTTCCCTGTAAAACTATGTTAAAATATGAAGGGCCGTTTGTAATTAAAGAAACGAATGTTGACAATCAGAAGAAATATGAGCTAATGACAATATATATGAAATATGAAGGGCCATTTGTTAGTAAAGATACGAATGTTGACAATATGTGAGAAATAGAAGCTAATGAAGATATATATGAAATTTTGCAAAATATATATAAATTAAACTGTTGTATTATACAAAGAAATCTGTAAATATATATGGAATAGCCTTCTAAATATTCAAGGTGCTCTGAAAGTCCAGCTCCCCCCTTCCTAACTTTTGAACGGTTAGAGATAGAAAAACGAAACGAAACTCAGGAGGAGGCCCCGGCCCCCCCGCCCCCCCTTTGAGGAAGGGGCAAAAGTTTTGACCCCCCCATAGGATGGTCTTCTATGAGATAGAAACATTCCCGAAGTTTCGTTTTTCTATCTCTAACCGCTCAAAAGTTAGAGGAGGGGGGGGAGCGGGACTTTTGGAACACCCTGTATAACAAAAATCGTGGAATTTATAAGAAATGTGTAAGTGTATATGGAATCATCCTCGAAATATATAGCGAAATTCGTGCAATGTACAGGGTGATCCAAAAGTCCCTTCCACCTCCTGCAACTTTTTTTTTTTTTTTTTTTAATTGTGGCAAAGATTTGAAACTTGAAGGGTGACCCTAGGTCTAAGAGAACTACCTTCTGGCCCCCTTAAATTTGCAGGGGCTACCCTTGGGAGGGGGGTAACGGATCCCAATTTTTTTCAATTGGGAAGATCCCCTTTGTTATACCTTCTTCAAAGGAACATAAAAAGATAACTTTTTCATGCAAACCCGAAGTCAACATCTCAAAACGTTTCAAAATGGTGGCCGGTTAAGGTTCAAGATGACTGAAAATTGACACCGGTTGTTTGTCGATGGATTTGCGCGAAAATCGGTATCTAAGGGTATTTCGATGAGAAAAACGAATTTGAAGTTAAATTTTATCAAAAAACGAAATTTCTGAAATGGCCGTCGATTCAATTTCAAAATGGCCAAATATTTTTTTCTCTCTCTCTCTTTCTCTCTCCCCCCTCTCTCTCCCTCCCTCTCTCCCCCTTTCTTTTTTTTAAATCCAACTTTAAATTTGTTAATCTCATGCCAAAATACCTCTAAATCCCAAGTTTCAGAATTTTTGGCCATTTTGGAAATTTCGGTTTCTTGAAAATCTAACTTCCAATTAGTTTTTCTCATCAAAATACCATTAGATACCGATTTTCGCGCATATCCATTGACAAACAACCGGTGTCAATTTTCGGTTATCTTGAACTTCAACCAGCCGCCATTTTGAAAAGGTTTGAGATGTTGACTTCGGGACTCGGGTTTGCGTGAAAAAGTTATCTTTTTTTATGTTCTTTTGAAGAAGGTATAACAAAGGGAATCTTCCCAATTGAAAGAAAATTGGGATCCGTTACCCCCCTCCCAAGGGTAGCCCCTGAAAATTTTAAGGGGGCCAGAAGGTAACTCTCTTAGACCTAGGACCATCCCTCAAGTTTCAAATCTTTGCCTCAATTAAAAAAAAAAAGTTGGGACTTTTGGATTACCCTGTACATTGCACGAATTTCGCTGTATATATTTCGAAGTCGATTCCATACATACTCACACATTTCTTATTTATTGCACGATTTTTGTCATATCCCTAGTAGCAGAGTTATATAAAAAATTTGTAAAAGTATAAACCGTAAATAACCACAAGCTAAAGAATATTCATTGTTTATGTAATGGATGTAAAGTTTTTTAGTTAAAAGTTTACATTATTATGTAACCCTTAGTATAAAAGTTATATAACCAAATTCAAAGAGTGTATAAAATGAATTTTCATTATTCTTCCTGGCTGGTAGCGCACTCTAGTTATGAAGTGTGCAAGTTTTCATATGCGTTACTACCAGGTGGTGAATCATCGTAGAGTTGTGACTTACCTTAAATCCGCGGCGTCCTAGTCGGGATTAGAACCCACGCCTCGGGATGGAGTTGCAATCCGAAGTCCAGTACTTTACCACCAGACCAGCCAGGCTTGATATGGATGGGCCCCTAAATTCAATCTCTTAACTATCGCAGGCCTCTGAGTCCGTAATATGTTTGTTTATTGACGGATTCTTATGATATTTTACCAGACTTTATTATTTGTCTATTTACTGTTTTTTATTTCATGATGTAATTTTTTCATTTTCATTTTTTTTAACTCTCTCATTTTTTTAGCTCTCTCTTTTTTTTAACTATCATGATTTTTAACTATCATTTTTTCTAACTCTCTCTATTTTTTTAACTCTCATTTTTTTAACTCTCTCTCTCTCTCTATTTTTTAACTTTATAATTGCGTCTTTTTCCAGTTTTAATTATTTGGGCCTTTTTCTAGTTCGAATTTATGTCGATGTATTTATGTTATTTATTTATTATTATTATCATTTCCTTTTTTCTTTTAAATTTTTATAATATTAATTTAAACATTTTAAAAAAAATCAAAATTTTTAAAATAATATTTAATAATATTTTTAAAATATTAACAAAAATAATTATGATATACTTTAAAAATATTATAAAATATTATTTTAACAATTTTAATTTTTTATATTTTTAATATATTTTTAAAATGTTTTAAAAATATTCATTGATTGTATTTCAAAAGTACTTTTGAAAATATTTTAAAAATACATGAAAAACATTTTAAAAATATATTAAATTTCAATATTTTTAAAATATTTTTAAAATATTGCTGTCTAACTGGGCAGGGTTATGAGCCAGACACGCTACCAACTGAGGTAACAGGGCTCCTCGGATTGTGTGCCGAAATATCCCCTTTTAACTCGTCTCGGAGCCACTAGTACCTCTAATAATACCTATCCCACGCAGTCTGAGAGTCGAGGGTGTTCATTGAAATGAGATCATCATCATCATTCATGAAAATGAGATAGGTTTACGTTAAAGTCATTCAGGTCATTTATATAACAGTTATATTAAGCAAATTAAGCAAAAGGATACTGTGCGTATAAAGAAAATTTATAAAAACCCTTCCTCAATTATATAAATCTTATATAAACGTTATCTTCTGAAAATATGAATAATTATTTTCATGGGCATTTTATATAAAACTTATATACACGATATATAAACTTTAGTTAAAATGG